GTACATTTGCTGTTATGTTAAACTTGTATTAAAGTTTTTTTTTCATTACCCATTCAAGCCATCTCCAGCCATTACATTATATTTTATTTTTAGCATCACTTTAAAGTTACGTGAAGTTATTCATTATTACAACCTCCAAAAAAAATTCTAGACTTCCACCTAATGTTGTATAATTAACATAATAAATCACTTTACTTTAGGCTCCAAGTTCAACGTTACTTCACTCTAGTTAGGACTAAGCAAGTCAACATTCTTTTTGTCTGCAACAAAGTCAACATGCCTAAGGCTCCATCCATTCAGGTTTCACTATTTTTAAACTATAACAGTATAAGTTATATGTATAAATGTTCCCCACCGTACAGCCAAAATACTTATAGTACATGTGAAACTTCCATGTACAGAGACGAGATGTGTTTGTGTTTGAGTTAATACAGCCCAGTTAGTCTAAATCATGTATATGAAAAACGGTCAACAGAAATGCGAGTTTCTCGTTTGTTCACTTTCTGACTAAACCGAGTGCCAATCATTGACTTGCACCAAGCTACACAGTCAGTAAAGAATAAAGGAATACCGGTTCTTACCTTGTTACTTAATATAATCAGTACTTCACAACACTATATAAACAAACTATGAAGAAAAAAACAAAACAGCCGTACATCCAAAATCACTTGCGATAAAATTGATATAAAACTGTCAATAAATATTTAATCCTACCTCCTTTCTTCCCTACCGCCATTGATTTAAACAACCTTATATCGAATACTCTCTAACCGCCGGCACTTATGATTGTTCTGGAGTCTAGGTGATTTATTACTTATCCTACCGTAATAAGTTCTGTTTATTTTATTTTAACTAGTTTTTAAAATTCATAAGGAACCAACAAAAAGAACTTGAATAGAGAGCTATGATTTTTTAAAGAGCACTAAATGATATTTCTCAAACAATGAGTTTACAAACTTTTACACTATATTAATAAACATTATGCTCTAGCGGAAGTATGAGATTTAGGGTAAGTCATGGGAATAGTAATACTTTAGTTGAGAATAAGCATTACTCTCTATGGGATAAGTTTGGCTGAATCCGCAAGTTTTCATAAATAGTATTAAAAAATATACATATTTGTTAAATTCAACTACTAAATAAAACCAGAGTTGGAGATAAGTGTAAGTTAATATATTTGAATGTATCGAGATGGATATTCACGTTTTGTTGGCTTTTATGTAAGGTTGATTGAATTATTTTTATAAGGTGTAGAAGGCTTCTTTTATTTTTTTCGTGTGTGGTTCATATTCCATTATTTTAGTATTATTTCAATGTATTGAATGGTCTTCTCTGGTATGGTAGACCATTACAGATATATCTGCATTACAGAGTTTTGTGTGTGCATTATGCTCCTGAATTTTAAATTTTGTTAATCTTTTTGTTTCTTCATTGTACTGGGGTAGTGGTACTTCCAGATAATTCGTTCTCTTCAAAAGATTCAGTAGGACCTGCAAATAATCAAAGGTTCGAGCAGATGACTGATTTTTCTTGATTTTGATTTAGTTATGAGAAGAAAAAAGACTGGGTACAATGTAAAACACAATGAAAACAACCTTTATTCAAGATACAGAACTCTTTCAAAATGTTGTTACGACAGCGGAAGTCACGTGACGCTGCTGGTGCATGAGTTTTTCGAATTATCGGGGAAGTCCACGAATTTTGGAGATGCCTCTTCATTAGTATATAAGCCTGGCAAAAAAGCCAGGAGATGATAATTACTTATTTCTTCTCGCTAACCGGGCACTGGTAACGAATTGGTCGTTACCAGTGAAAGTGGGTTTTCTCAGGGTTCTCCCGTTTCCTCCCACATTAAATTCTCGGCATAGGATTTTTAGATCCCCACGCCCTGATGGACCATCAGTCCGAGATCGGCCGTTTAGTTTAGTTCAATTTAGTCTACTTTGCTCTTCACTTTTTATTTTTACCATTACTCTCACGTTTATCCTTTTTAAATTTACATACCTTGTCTGCATTAACTTCCTGTTTTCTCAAGCTAAGCCCATATTCCTAGACCACGAGTGGGGTGAAGGAGGATTGTTTAATCTTCGAGCACCCCAGATTAGTAATTATTTTGTCGGAAATAATTATTTTTAAATCTAAATAACTGCCAGGAACAAACAACAGGGGTGATAAAGCGAACAGTAATTACGGTGAGTTTCGGGTAATTTACGATTCTGTTTCGAGCTAGGGTGTGTTTTGCACTCGTAGAGAGCAAAATTATCGAGATTGTGAATCTCTGTGATTTATACCGTGTATCATAATATTTGTTAACTTTAAAGTGACGAGAAACGTACTGACTGTGGAATTACTGTATACTAAAGTGTGTATCAAGAAAGAATAAACTAGTTTAATCAATAAGGGACTTGTATCGCTGAAATTCCTCCGAAAGAATTTCTACCGGAAATTAACAAACAAGCAGATACGTAACAGTATCAATGCTTAAGACTAAAGACAGCACTGTTACTGTATTATTAACTATATTGTTACGTCTCCGTTTGTTAATTGATTTTCCGTAACTTCGTTCCGACGAAACTTTAGCGACACAAGTCCTTACTTAGTAAAACTGGTTTATTCTTTCTGAATATAACTTTACCGGTACACTTATTTCAACAGTCGCTCTTTTACAAACGTTTTAACAACGAACATTAACTTCAACAATACTTCCTGACTGCAGTTTAATTACTCACTACCTACACACATACATTCTG